CGTCAGTAGGCTCTGGCAGCCTGCGTAGGAGCAATTTTGAATGCTGGTGGCGGCAAAATCGCCTCACTTTATTTTTTCTTTTGTGTTCTGTGGCGATTATAACGGCACTATACACTCAGCCGTGTCAACCTTAACTGCCTAATATATTTGACCACACCAGAGGATAGCCGAACTGCATGGGTATTGCCCCCTCACTATATGAAATTCAACGAGTCTCATAAATCGAACAACATATATTGTACGCGTACCCCACGGTGCCGCGTTATCCGGACATGATTTGAGAAAGGTCTCAAATAACACAGCATATCCAAAATACAGTGTCGACGACAGTCACTTCACGACGATCGCACGGAATCCGGCTTGTCTTGGGGTACGTTTTGAAGAGTGATGTTTTTTATACACAGCACTAGTGCGAATGAACGAACGTGTCTATTTAGTTCCCATTCCCCGGACCCTATCAGCTACTTCTCGCCAAGACCGGGAACATATCCGGGAAGGCTTTTCGGAGATTATCTCAACGGAAATAATCCTCGAAGAACGTCGAACGGCCTGCGTCGCGGGCTGCTTGACGTTCGCTTTCTTCGCCCGTTCTCTTCGCTCGTTTCTTGCGAAGGTCCAGAAGGCTATAAGTCCTGGTATTCCCAAGTTCTCACAGTGGAAGATTACAAAAACACGCAAGCATCCTGAACAGGCAAATAGAGTAAACACTTAGAAGGAAAGCCGGCGAACTCCGAACACACGATGCAGGTGGGGAGTCGCGCTGATCGGGTTTCCACAGCTCAGGCGGGTGGCAGAAATTTTTGGCTAATAGGGGTCACTCGAGTCGCAAAATGGCGGCGGCCAGCGAGCTGTTTCTGCAAAGGTCTATACTGTCTCCGTGATAAAAGATAAGAAGAAAACCATATAATAACTTTAAAAAAGAAAGATATGTACTTGTCTGTGTTTCTGACCTCTTTGGGTTTATTCTTTCTGTGTTTGTAAGTCTCTATAAACAAGCTCCCTAAATTTTAATTCAAGTTGTGTGAGCTTCATGTCCTGACTCAGTACGTCCGCCCGTCACCCTGTGTTCAATCCCCGCAACTTCTTTCAAGCCGTCAGCTACATCTCAATAATTAACTTTCTGCGGCTCCGTCTACGCTCCCTGGGGCTTTGCTTGCGAAAAAACGTGGCCCACGCCTCCGTGGACTTTGTGCTGGGATTCCACTCCCATACTTGGTTGTCAAGCTACAGGATCATGCAGATTTCAAGAATAGAGATATCCCAGGAACTTCGACTCATGAGAATGACTCTCCCCGGCCACGACAGCACTCCTCGATACGTTTTACGCCACAGACCCTCGTTCCTCTTCCTCAGGAGTTCTGCAGTCGGGCTCTTGGAGGCCGCAGGGGTAAAAATCCTGGGGAGGTACGCAAGTCTTGCCAGAAGGCTTCGGACTTCAACTGAAACCCCCTGTTGTACTTTTGGACAAACAGCTTTCCCCGGACACGGTGGGACTTCTGTCTCACGGGCCCAAGTTCGCCCTAGACCTTCCAGCATCGAGGGTAGACCAACTGACATCCGCTTACAAGGTAGCAGCAAGTAACCCTGAAAAGGATCGTCAGAACTTCGTAGGCACAGCTGTGCATTCCGTTTGTGCCCACCTGCCTCCTCCAGGCAAGTCATATGTATACTCAACAGTAGAGGAGCTCCGCAACGCCCAGCTAAAGCTGCTAGAGTAAGAAAAGATGGTAGTTTTCGTTGTTATGAACGAGGACATCTAAGAGGAAAAGGTGGAAGCTGCACTCGAAAAAAGAACTGCTTTACTCAAGGAAAGACCTTCAGGGTCTTTAAGGTTTGAGGCTAGGGAGATATGCTCTCAACTGAACCTCCCCGCTCTGAGAAAGAAATGCGTTAGCTTTGCCCGCACATCAGTTCATAAGAGTGCCATTTTTTTCTGCAAAGACCCATGCAGAAAACGCCCCGCTCCGCGGCATTGTTTCGGAGAACGTGTGCTGGCAGAAGAATGGTCTCATCGGCCAACTCTGCCAGCAACACCAGCGGTCGAACCAGCGAGAGCCCCTGGGAGACAGACGGTCTCCAACACAACCATGGCAAATCGTCACCAATGACTTCTTCCATCTCCACAGTGTCACCTACCTACTTGTAGTGGACTACTTTAGCAAGTACATTGTGATAGAGCAAAAGGGGGACACCTCTGCTATCAAAGGATCGCAACCCTAAAAAAGGAGTTTGCTTGATTCGGCATTCTAGAAGGGGTCTGTGACAACGGCCTGCCATTCAACTCTGAAGCATTCAAAGGGTATCTCAAGTGCTTGGACATGACAAATAATCCAAGTTCTCCTGATTACCCACAGTCGAATGAACTTGCAGAGAAGTCAGTTCAAAGAATGAAAACAGCTTGACCAAGGCACCGAAGGAAGGCAACAACCTGTCTCTTGTTCTTATGGAGCTTAGGGACACACCGATGGATCAGCTCCTGTCCCCATTGGAACTGCTAATGGGCCGCAGGATCACAACCCTCAAGCCAGCTGCTCCGCGTTAACTTGAGCAGCACTACAACATCAGGGAGGTTCAAGCACGCCTTCAGTTCCGTCAAAAGTGTCAGCACCGACATGGTGACGCACACAGCAAACCACTACGTCCTCTGAGTCAAGGCGAGAGAGTCTATTTCCGTCGAAACCACAAATGGGAACCCGGAATTGTGGTCCAAGTCGGACAACAGCCACGATCATACCTAATCAGAGCGGAAGACGGGGGAGGGGAGGGGGGGGGGGGCATTACAGAAGAAATCGATTCCACATCTGACCATTCACTTGAAACAACAACGCGATCCCTGAGGACTACTACCAACTCACGTTCAACGACCAACCTCACCAATGTCCTGCCCAGTAGTCCCGCATACCCGAAACCACTCGATCAAGCCATCAAGTTGTTCAGCCAGCAAGGTATCGCCGAATCTGTGGACTCTGAACTCTTAAAATTCGCATAAACTTTCTTTTTGCAAAATAAAAGGGAAAAAAGGATCTGTTATGTATTTAGAAAACTATGGTTGGTGGTGCCCACTTCGCAGTTTCTCACAAATCGGCGTTGATACCCACACGTGCGACTCAGCTAGCCTTACACCACAAAACAGCTATGTGCCTGGCGTCGTTCCCGTTCTCGTAATAAAGTTTGTCAACCAAAAACATTTCAGTATGAACAACGCTATCCACAAACACGGCACGTGTCAGTTCCTGGATCTCCTGGATGTTTACCTCCACTCAACCTCAGTGGAGTACGAGGGCAATGTTTATATAAAGAGAGCGGAGGTGTGCATCAGGTCATGCTTTGCAACAGTTCTGAGTAAGGTATGTATTTACTCGCACAATGAACGCACTCGCGTAATGAACGCACCCCCCAAGTCGGCTTCCAAAATTTCGACTTTTTTTTTCACTTGCATATTAAACCCACCCCCAACTGGGAAGTCAAAACTTTGACCCCCTCCCCTTTCCCCACACGCGCGAAATGAACGCACTTTTCTATCCTGGTGCAGCGAGGTCGCAAATGCATGGGTAGCGTGGCCGAACAAAACGCCTTGCAAAAGGCCTTAAAAATAAAAAAGACCCATTGGAATCATTTATCGAAACTACAGTACGAAAACCAGTGTCTCCCACTTAGACTTGGTTCTTTCTAATTTAACTTCTCTTGAATCACGTCGGACAGCCGCTCGCCTTACTCTTTTTCATAACTTTTATTACAACATGCAATCATTTATGCTCACTCACTGTAAGTCTGTCTCATACATTTCTTTGCGTCATGATCATTCCTTGAAAATTGCACCTATATTTGGTCGCACTAATAGATACAAATACTCTCCTCTTGCTCTGTCCATTAAAAATGGGAATGCTCTCCCAAACGACATAGTCACTGAATAGAATGATAAAAAATATTCCGCAAAAAATTTTTGGCTTTGGTACTATGTTTTCAGCGCCATGTCTGCTTGTGTTTCCTATGAATTGTGCACTGAGTCCCCAGTTCTGTTGTGCCCGGTTTCTGTAAACTTTGTTCTGAATTCTGTATAGTTTGTTTTTAGTTTTTGTTTGTTGTTAATTTTTAACCTTAGTTAGTTCTTTTATTTCCATTATATCATTGCATTTGTTTGTATTTTTCTACCCCCCCCCTCATGTAATACGTTTGAACGAACGTATTTGAGGCGAATAAAACTTGAAATTGAACTTGATTCGAGTCCATTGAGCTGCGAAGGCGAATACATCGGCCATCGGAAGATGCCTAAATGCTCGCTTTAGGGAACACCATTCAGATGTTACCAAGGCATCATCGGACTCGTTCCACCCAATAGTTCTGCATGCCCGTACCTGCCACGATTGCACCCCAAACTTTGAAAACACCACTTAGCTAAGTTCACACATAGATAAATGTGGGCCCGAAACAATAGAAGCGTTTAAGGTCAGATATGCCGTGAGCAATGTCTCTGGGACATCTTTGGCTTTGTCGTCAAAAAAGCTGGAATTTCTAGCGTAAAAATTATCGTAAAAAGCTTGTTGTGATCAATTAATTTTGTCTTTTCCTTTCTTTTCTTATTTATTTTCCCCCCTTTTCAGGGGTTAATTTCCTGATTATAATGCAGTTAATGTAAAGGTACAAGCGAGCTGGACAAGAACCTAGCTGTGTTTGGAGATTTGTGTTTGTCCTTTGTCCCTCTTGTTCCCATTTTCCAGGATTATTTTCGTCATTAATTTCCTTTCTTTTTTTTCTTCCTTTCCCCCTTTTTCACGAAATTTCCTTAAGTTTTTCCCTATAATTTTTTTGCTATCATTTTAATTTGGTATTTTTAAAGTTTGTGAGTAAATTGGTTTTATATTAAATTTTGAATATTTTCGTTTTCTTTCAATTCTTTGTCGTTCAAGGTCGTAGCGTAATGGGCATCTCATAAATGTTCGCTGCTCATTGAAAGAACTGTGTGTGTCTGTGTTTGTCCTTTACGTGTTTTATTCTTTCAGTGCATTCTGTCAGTTCCTCAAGGCTCTTCTCACATCATGTGGTGACATTTGCGTCCAGTGTTATATAGCCCTGTCACATGGAAGAGGTGGAGGAGACCAGCTTACTAAAAAGTATATCAGCATCACTGGTATTTCCTTTCTCGTTGGAAATGACTTCTGCCCCTTTTGTTTAATGGGAGTCCTTTGCATGTTCTTTGCTTACTTTTCAAACGGTTCAAAAGTGTGATATGGGGTAGGCAGTTATGCGACAATGGTGCATGCCCAGTATATCACGGTAGCTTAAACAAGAGACTTTGGAAGTGAACATCAGGAGAATCTCCTGTTTCATTCTTTCTAATCCAGGGTGCCAATTTCGAAACATGTTGTACAATCTTTAAATAACTTTTAGCACAAGGAAGGAAAAAGGAGAGGAGGCATTATGTCAGTTCGCTATGCAATTCTAGAGATTTTACAACAGTACAGTACAGGACACCAAGCCGGTTGGAACCAGATCATTACATCTGTCAGTGTGGCTTCTAGGTACTTTAACTAGCTTATTAGTTCGCAAAAGAGCTCAATGAATTGTGGAGGCTAAGCCTCGTAAGACTTCTGCAGACTGACTGCACTGAGCAATAAAACGAAGAATTCAGCTGGATTGTGTAACGTAGAAAGATAAACCGGGAAAAGAGCATGGGCAAAACTGGGGAGCTAAACCACGCAAGGCATTTCGTGCTATGTCTCGTCTAAACTATTTTCTTTGTTGCTGCACTTTCTGTCATCTTTAGCAGGCAGTATGCACTGATTTCACTTACATATTGGGTGGATTCGACCATAAAGCTAGACGTTTGTATTAGAAAACCAAGCGTATGTTTTATCGGAGTAATGGCACATAGAATTTGCACTCTTTTTAAGAGGGATAATTTATCTAAGCCAAATGTTTCATACTAAATTGCCAAAGATTCTGCCCCAGTTTTCAAAAACAGACTGGCAAATGCTTTCATTTATTTAGTAACATTTGATCTGTTTATTTACAGGAAACACTGCCTCTATTGCTGTCATCAACAGCCAGCTGGCTGAAATCAAGCAACCACACAGCTCCACGAGACTCCCAAGGGCACTGAGCACACGCCTATTCTGGAAGGCTTCCGAATGGCGCCACTGGCTGCTGTACCACTCGCTTCCCTGCATGTACAGGGTCCTTCTGGACCAATACTGGCCGTACATAAAGAAGCTGGTGGAGGCCGTCCATGCACTTTTGAGGGACACCGTAACTCCAGCATCCATTGATGTTGCACGCGAGTTCTCCCCCTTCGGTTTCTTTGTGTCCTGCTTCGGGCCAGCTTTAATAATGTCATATTGTGCTTTCAGTATGCAAACGAAGTGTGCCTGCTCGGTTCCTCTTCGAAGGCATCCTTGAGCAAAGAGGAACAGAGTTGTCTTTCCGCTGGATCTGGGGCCGCCTTTGATCAGGCTACAGAGTACAAGCACTTCGCATGGAAAGGGCAGATTTGTCACAGCCGAAACTATGCCAGGAGTAAAAAGACAGACTCCTAGGTCATTCAAATAAAGGATATGTGCGATTTCACCATTTTGAGAGTGTTGCCTTTGAAAGGTGAGGTAACACTTCTGAGCAGGGAAGTTGTCATCACTTGGCAGGTGCTTTCCCGCAGCACATCAGGCTTTGTTTTCTTTCTCACGTGAACTTGCAGGCTGTTAGACCACAGCAGCTGAAGGCACCATGCCTTTTTCTCACTTTCAGGAAGCCCTCAGCATGCTATGTCTGTGATCTGTCAAACCTTCTTGAGCGCGATTGATGTAATGTAACCAGGTGTGCCGAAGTAAAGTGACTGTTCCCTAGGAGTTGAAATATTCAAAACAAACATCGTGTGATAATTTGTCCCTGTTTTGCCTTTGTGTCAACAAGGGAAATCTATCGAGATTGTGCCTTTCACATCTTCAGACTTCTTGTTTTGCTCCTAAGGTGTTCCTTCAGGTAACTCTACATTCATAAGTGATTTTCTTTGTTTACAATTTGTTATACTTCGTGTGCTTGATTTGCTCTTCTGAGACTAGTCGGGCTAATTTGATTATCGACCTGTGGAAGATGGCTATTGTTTGAGTAAGTCAATTCCATGTCTCAGCCTCCTAATGTGTCTTTCCCTAACCTTTCTGACAAAAATGTGTGAAGCTTCTAGGGGTAGCAGTAGGGTAGGCTTGTTTTTAACTGCAAGCAGGCAAATGAGAAAATCACTCTTTTGTTATTATAATGCAAGTTGAAAAGACTGAAATAGACTTAGACCTTTCGTTATTCTGTCTACATTGCATCATAATTGAATAGCTTCAAAAACCTTCTGTATTCGTGGACCACAAAATAGGCTTTTGTTAATAGCATTTCACATATGATTTGATTGATTTTGTTTTCATACTTCTGTGTTAATTTTGACTAGTTAATTGTTTTAGTAACTATAGGTTATGTATGAGGGTTATAAGTTCTTGGCTCTCTTAATTACTGTACTGTCATTCGATGATTTGTCTCTTAACACCTACAAGTACTTGTGAAAATCTTAAACTGGCACACGTAAAACTGAACAGCAAGATAGTTACTGATGCTTGTCTAGTGAGCTTTCAAACACAAATATTAAATAGAGCGTGCACATTAGAATGTATAGCAATGTATTTCTGGGGTGGAGTTGCCCTTTGAGGTTATTACTTGAAGTAAGCATTTGTGCAAGTTGGTTTAAATTTATGTAGTGTCTAATGGCCTTTCGGTGTCTTGGGGGTTCTAGTAATATTTTTTTTCTGAGATCAATCATAGTATAGAAATAAATGTAGAGCGGATGCAGAGGATGCTAACTGCTGTTAACGAATTCCAATAAGGTAGAAATGTTTGGCGACTTCATTATAAAAAACAATTACTTTTTTCATTTCAATGCTTCTAAAAATGCCTTCTGCACTTGATGGGCCAGCTGCATTCTTCAAGTTGTCATGAATCTGCCTAGAACGTGCCTTTTTTAGCTCGTCTTAGCAAGACATAATAGCAGTAGGTGATGCCACTAAAAAACCTGTGTCGACATTTAGCTAAGACAGCTCTATATCAATTTCACTATCCACTAGCTGGGCTGAGCATTTTCAATTCTAGGCATACTGCAAGTTTTGGTTGGCAGGAATTCCATTTGTTCTATATTATTTCCAGTTTCCACAAACTCGTATATATGCTTTACAGAATAGGCAACTCTGCCACCAAATGTAATACCTATAACTTAAATTTCCATAGCTGCTTGCACTTTGTTGGGCCAGCCTAACAACTAAAAAAATATAAACGACATACATATCCGAGATTTTTTGTTTCGCGAAATGTTTTACCTGGATGCCTGAGGGTTTTTCAGCGAATTTCTGCTAAGTGGGTCTTTTACAATACATTCAGGTTTCTAGGAACCACATTTTGTTTTCAATATTCATTTCAGTTTGCACAAACTGGCTTTGGGGATAAGTTAACAGAACAGATCCCTGAATGGAGGTTCCAAGTATAGAGCCAGATACCTAGGTGGTTTTAAAAAAACCCAGTATGTGACCACTATAGTTTCTCCTCCTGGATTTGTTTTCCCACAATATGTATCACATGGCGTAACTGGATATCAATTTTCAGGTGATGGTTCCACTACCTTAATTCTGGAACTGAAAACTTCCAGAGCAGAATTCAGATTCTTCATTCTGGAACTGAAAACTTCCAGAGCGGAATTCAGATTCTTCATTCTGGAACTGACTTTTCCAGAACCAAATCCAAATTCTCCAATTAGGAACTGACGTTTCCAGAACCGAATCCAGATTCTCCAATCTGGAACCGACATTTCCAGAATTGAATCAAGATTCTCCATTCTGGATTTCGGCTTTCCAATTAGCTTCCAAAAAAAAATCAAACTGGGTTCTCAGGTAGGGAAGTATTGTTACGTGTACACTCCAGTATGTGCCTGCGAAACTTTGTAACATATATTTATATTTCAGCTTGCTTTTGAATGGGAACTTAGGTTTGAAACCGACATTGAAGAAGACGAAAGATGCCTCAAGAAGGTTCTCCTAGAAACAGCAGAGTTGGCCACCTTCCTTTGCTGTCCCCCAGCCCTTAACACTGTCTGCAACACCAACGAACCACGGAGTCGTCACAATCTTCTGCTTTCGCACCCACACCATCTGACAATGATGCACCATGCGTGAAGGGGATCATTTTTTCAAAGGAAGAACTGTGAACAGCCGTGTCTAAGATCAAGCCATCACAATGCCCTTGTCCAGATGGTGTGGCACCTGCCTTTTATAGGATGATAACGCAGTACAGTTTGATCCCTCCCTCAGCTGTCTACATCAAAGTATTTTCGATGAGGGAGCTGTTCCTACCACCTGGCAACACGCCTTACTCACCCCTATTCACGAAAGGAAAGAGAAGCCTACAAGTGACGTCAAGCATTAGCGTCCAACCTCAATAACATTAATCATCTACCGCACATTAGGATGCATACTGAACAGTCAGTTCCTCGATTTTTAGAGAGCACTGGATACTTATTGCAGACACAGCACAGTTTTAGGCACGCCCGCAGCTGTGGGACGGTCCTGGCGACCCCGTGTCATTTTGTAAGCAACAATCTTGGCAGTCGCAAAAAGAAAGATTTTCTACGGCTTCATCTCAGTTACGCGTTCGATGACCTCAACATCGATCTCCTGCTACATAAAATGTCAGGCGCCAGCGTTCATGGCTTCCTTCTCAAGTGGCTGCCAAACTAACTGAAGGGAAAAATCCCACAATTTGTTTACCAAGGTGTGCACTGAGCTACGATGAACGTCCCCTCCAGTGTGCCACAGCACCGGTTTCTTGTCAATGACATGCCTCAGGATGATAGATTTTCTTTCGTTCAGTACGCAGACCACACCTCGATGCTGGCTCCACTTACTGACACCTGCCTCCTTCTCCAGGACTACATCAAAGACATAAAGTGCCGGGTGACTAACAACTGCTAGCGGCTGCACACCACGAAAAGTGCCGTGATGCGCTTTAGCAGGCCCCACAGGGTGGGCAAATCGAGCTATCATTTGCTCAGTGAGCCCCTACCATGTATGACTCTTTGTCAAGCTTAGAAATTACATTCACACAAACATTAGATTTCACAGTGCACATAGGAAGTGTTGTACCAAAGGCTCGGCGAACCATGGGGGTTGTTTCTTGTATCTCCAGGTCATGGGGACCTTCGCCATAATCTCCGGTCATAAGGTGCATAAGACAGATTTCCAGAAAGATAAGGGAGGAGCCCCAAAAGACCAGTTCGACCACTTCGAAGTTTCGAAAACTTGCTTTTACGCAAAATGGTGCAACCAGCACCACAAAACCCTCTGCCATGGCCACTGATGCTTGTGTCATCGCCAAGTTTCAAATTGAGGGAAAACAAAGCATTTGTACATGACTTATTTTTCGTGGGCTCCATTTTTCGCGAATTCGACTGAAGCTGAAGAGCTGGAATAATTACTGGTACCCATTTTTGCAATCCGCAAGGACCTCACTACAGCTTTCTGTATGTTCACATTTTAGCCAAATAGTTTGTGAGACCTATTTTTTGCAAAATGTAGACGATTTGTGAAAATTAGGTCTTCGTGAAAATTAATTTGTTTCCAGTATACAGTGGTACTAGTTTACTTAATTTCTCGTGACGGGCATGAAGGGGGCCAGATGGAAGGCGGATCATTATAATAAGGGTGACGAAGTTTATGCCACAATAGGCTGGGACACATCACAACAGATATAGTAGTCGGTAAGTCAGAGTCATATAGGATCACAAGGACACTCATTGTTATCTCTGTCTCTTGTGCTCCGAAGGAAAGAGCTAGATTTTCGTCACCCAATACTGCAAGCTTAGTGGCAGTGCAGCAGCCGCCCGTCGCCCCGCCCGCCGCCTGCCTCCCCCCCCCCCCCCCTCCGCCGGGGGGGGTCACGTTTCAGCTGCAAGACCGGAACTTTATGATAATGCTAAAAGCTCTGCTAGTTAATATTCGTTGTATATGATGAGTGCAAAAACAGCATAAGAGGTATATAAGGTAAAATTGT